CTCTGTTCCATGGTCGGTGTTTGACCAAAGGCTCTGTTCCATGGTCAGTATTTGACCAAAGGCTCTGTTCCATGGTCGGTGTTTGACCAAAGGCTCTGTTCCATGGTCAGTCTTTGACCAAATCCCAGGCTCAGCTCACCTGTCACCAGGAGAGGAGGAGAGGGCACATGTCTGAACAGCTCTGCTGAACCCATGCAAAGGCCTGAGCTATCACTGCACCATGGAAGAGGCACCAGCAGCACCAGCAGGCAGAACAAGCCACAGAACAAACCCAAAAACACTGAGTTCCCACAGCAGGGCTGCAAAGAAATCAAACAACTTCAAAATAATTCTGTGGTAAASTTCCCAGGGGCAGAGTTGCCAAACTAGCAATTCTGGGAAGGACTGGACGAGCCAGAGCTGTCTCTGTGCAGGTCTGCATGGCTCCCTGGGAGAAGCAAACCCTGGCCACCTGAAAATCCAGCCAGGCTGCAGAAGCTGCTCCCAGCAAGGAACAGCACCCAGACTGACTCCAGCACTATCTGGAGTGTTCCCATCTTTCCTGGATGGCTGCAGCTCCCACACACAGCTACCATTAGAGAACTTTTCTTATCGAGGGTAAAGTTTCATTGGACCCTCAACTCTGCTGATGATTTTCACTCCATCTTCATCCCCTTCCTCCTAWCTCCCTCAAATCCAGAGTTTAATTCTTTCACAGGCACAAAATGACAGTGACATAATTTCAAAGTACTTCCCAACCCTTCCCAAGTCCTGCAGGATGAACCCTCAGGATGAACATCTAACACTGAACACAGCTACACTCGCCCTTTGCTGCAGCCACCCCAGTGAGCAGGGATGGACTTGGGATGCACGTTTCTTGGGAGTACTACCAGCAAAAAAATTCCTAYAGAAATGCAAAATAAACTCAGCTGAGTAATTGTGTGAGCATAATGATTCAAGATTCAAGGTTTAAACCGAAGAAAATTAAAAATCCCCCCCACAACCTATACATTTGGAATTTTACCTGGTTTTCTGAAATTTTCAAAATAGCATTTTACATTTGCATGGGTGAATTATTCATTTCAGGTTTTGGTGCRTATTTAAAAGCTTCCAAGTTGATCAAGGTGATTTAAGTTAGGAAGCCGAGTACAATTTAAATAACCAATTTTACATCTGATTTTGTACTTCGTTCTTTTCTAAGACCATTTCCTTCTCCATTTCTTTACTCCGACACCCAGGAAGCCAGATGCCCATTTTTTATGGAAAAGGATACATTTGTTTTGATTATTCACTCTTATAAATACAATATTTTAAAGCTTATTTTCTATTGGAAGACAAGAGCACCCTGTTTCTCAGCTCATGGATCAGTTTTGGTGCTTTTGGGAGTCCCAGGGATGGTCCCCAGCAGCCCCCACACTACTGTGACAGTGTGGAAATCTGAAACACTCTTTACAAACCTCTGCCATGCTAGACAGGGAGGTCATGTTCCTTAATCACCTTTAAATCCTCACCATGCAGCTGGGCTGAGCATTTTACAAACTTTATTTAGCTCTTACTGTGGGTTTTTTATGAAAACCAAGCAAACAAAAACACAAATTAAATGAAACCCAAAACAGTTCAGCCATTTAGGRTAATTTTAACTCTTATGCTCCAGATGCAGAACCCCAAAGGTGCCGCCTGTTTCTGAAGGTGTTTCAGGGGAGGGTCAGCTCAGAAACACAAACCTCATTATTTCCTCAAATCTTTCCAAAAAGGTCTAAGTTTTAGCTTGCTAGTTYTTAATTCAGAATAAAATCAAATCGGGGTTTTTTTGCATGTTTTATGGAAAATATTTACTATGYTCATTTACTGTATTTCAACATTTTAAATTACTTTAACAGAGAAGACRCTCTTTGTGGGTTTTTTGTTGGTTAAGAAAGCAGCCTTTCAAGATCAGAGAACCAACAGAATCTCCCTTTAACACCAGACACTCAAATATTTCCTTGGTGCCTCAGGAAACTGGCCAAATGGTACATCAGCAAATGCACCTTCACGCTCAGCTCGAGCTCACATTGGCCATTCCAGCCTATTTTGGACTTGGTTTGTTTTTTGACAAAGGAGCTACAGTGGCCTCTTGACCCAAGGCAACACATCAAGCACTTCTTTCCTTCGGCTCTGGTCCTAAGAAAAATCTGAGTAAAACTCATAAGCTGCACCAAATTGTCAGCTACCACACTTACAGACATCTTTCAAACAATTATGACATGCAAGTCCAACATTCATTTTTAATTAACATGCCATTATGAAGTTCAGAAGAATCCCTCATTCACATACAAAGAAACACACCTGTGGGACTGAAACAAGATCAATCATGTCAAAAAAGCCTTAAGATTTTTGGAAGAGTATTTCAGAACTTTGAGGAAAAACCCCCACCTTTGGTATCCTTTCCCACTGCTGGCACACCAACCCCTCAGAGACCTCACTTACCCAGAGTCACTGCTCTTTGTGGCTCTGCTTTGGACCCARCCTTGCAGAACAACTTCCASTTAATTCACCTCAATTTGCTTCAGTCCCCTTCCCAGAGTTCCATATCCAGGAGATATTTAGTGTAAAACTAAGCTAAATTATTCAAATGCTAATACTTCACGGCCTTCAATACTCGTGGTTGCACACAGGAGGGCCTCTTTCAGAATAAAGTGTGTCCACTTTCAGAACTAAACCAACATAATTGTAATTGGGCTGCATGTCAAAGTTTAACAAATCCCCAGACTGGAAATAAAGTAGGTTTTACTCCTCACAGACCCTTTGTTACAGAAAGCAAKGTATAAAATTGCACTGCTGCCTCAGGAACACAGATTCCTCACCACAGATTCCAGGAACTATGCAAGAAAACCAAGCTTCAAAATCCAGTTTGCTGTTCTGGCTCCTCACTGCATGGCATYTTGGCCTTCCTAATGGAGAAACAAAATGAAGCTCCTTCAGGATCCTGGTCACTGTTCCACATAGAAGTCYAACACATGTTCTCCTTGAATGTCTAAACAACATCCAGGATCAAATCCCAACCAAAAAGATGAAGTCAAAGACTTTTCCAGCCATTAAAACATGCCACTTTTGCACGAGGCATGGAAATACTCTATTTCTTTCAGATTTCTGATGGTGCTTAGGTTTTTATTTCCATAATTTAGGAACAGTCATATTGATTCACTCATTCATCAAAACATTACTTGTGTCATAAGGAACGKGTATGTAGGAAAGGGTCTAAACAGGTTTAGTTTTTAGAACAGGTTTTGCAGAACAACCATGCCCAAGTTTGCTTCAGAGGTATGACATGAGTCTTACAAATGTATAAAATACCCACAGCAAGACAGAAAAAAACACCCTATTGTTTAGGCAAGCTGGGACATGTTACTCAGATTATTCTCTACTGGAGGCTGGTGCAAACATGCCAGGTCCACAAACACACACCAAAGGTTCTACGTGGCATTTCCAACACGTTTGTAAAGGCCCCACTGACAACCAACTCATGTGAGAGCACAAAAGCCACGCCAAGGAGCTGTTCAAGAATTGAAAGAAGTGCACAGACCAAACAACAAAAGCCAAGGGCAGGATCCACGAGAGCAGACATGGAGGAAAGAGCAAGGAAAGCACCAGGCAGCTCCCTCCTCMCAGCACAAAGTGTGGATTTAGGTGGGGGAACAGTCCATGCTGCAGAGCWGCCTTTCAGGTGGAGCTCATTCTTGAACACAGTGACTTGAAACAACTTGAATGCTTCTTTCTGGACAGAGATGGGTTCAAATAATGCAAAGAAGCTGGAGGACAGCCAACACTCCAAGGATTTAACTTTCATCCTAACCACAAAGAGGCACCTCTGCTCTCACAGAGGAGCTCCTGGGAGCTGGTCTGGGCTCAAAGCGCTGCCCAGCTGAGCTCCAGGTTCTGCCTGAGAGAGGAACAGGACATCAAAGTGACAYCCTGCTCTAGCCCTGCCAGGGAGGACAGCTCTGAGGCAGGAGATAAGAGATGGTCCTACCCCACACACACACCCAGACACCCCGAAGGAGAAAAACGGCTGGAGTAAAAAGATGCTGGCATGGCAATTTTCATTGTGATGGTTCCATYTGGACTCAGGATCCACACAAGTTTTGCAACTCAGTCCAAAAATAAAGGTCAAGTGGAATAAAAGTTACTTAGATCAATGCCCAATATGTAGGAAAGGATTTCCTACGTTTTCCAAATATTTCTTTTTCTATTGTAATCACAATCCCCAAGACCACATACCCCCTCCATTTTGTTGAGGGTTTTTTTAAATTCACAAGGATCAGCACTTTTTTCTACATGCTAAAAGTACATCTCAAATGCTTTTTTTTATTATTTGAGCCAGTATTTAAAAGTCAAATTGAAAACAGCCCTTTCTTTAAAAAAATGCACAACTTATTCCACTCCTAAGGAAACACAAATTCACTAATTTAATACTCAGACTGGTCCACTACAAGTTGTAAATGTTTTTGTTCTGACAATAGAAAATAAGGAGTAGCACACAGTATAATATTACCAGATTGACTGCCACAAACTCCTTTGCCAAATCATCCTCCTGACACCAAAATTGACTGGAATAATCCTTTTTTYYYYTTTTTTYYCCCACTGGTTCSACTCACATTTATTATCYTRTGTGCATGTGTTCATAYTTTTATRYCTTTTTATCTTTTTTGTSAGTTAGWCTTTAAGTTCTATTCAGCAACTCCAGGGAAACTGAAAATTTTCATTCTGTATGTTGTTTATCACTCCAGCCTGGGGTTTGCCCAGCCCATGCCATCAAAGTCAATGTTTTAGCAGGCTGTACCCACAGCTTCAGCAGGCAGTTTACTCTCCAGCAGCAGTAAAGGCTGCAATTCAATGGATTTTTTTTTAAAAAATTATTCCTCATGAAGTCAAGAAGAGTCGTAATGTGTAATATGGACATGCAACATGGACATGACTTTTACCAATAACCAATCCACAGGGTATCACCTATCTTTTCTCTAACGAAAGAGTATCATAATGTCATATGATACAATTAACATTCTCTTAAACCAAACCATTATCTTTTCATTTTGTTTTCTCTTTTAAGATTCAGTCTTAAAATGACTTAATTGTTGCAGTCCTCCCACACAAACACAAGAGACAAGTTTATTGCAGTGGAGAGCCCTAAATAGCACAGTCTGGTTTAGGCTGACTAATACAAACCCGCATTTTRTTTAATTTTACATTTGTTCCTAGGGAGATTTCACTCTCATCTCTCCTCCCTCCCATTGCACAGCACCTGAGAGCACAGGACATCACCTGTCCCTGGAGGGCTGAGCAGCACAGACAGCTCCAGCACC